GCAGGAACCTCTTACAAGTCCCTGCCATCATCCCAAGCTCATGCCCCCTCGCCCCAAGCAGAGATGCTCTAGCAGGGGAAACCCAAATCTTGTTAGAGTGCTCAGACAATGACTAAATGCTGAAGGTGCCTACACTTCACTAGGCAGGTGGCGGCTTGGAGGATTGTCCTGTCTATCTACCCCTGTTTGCTGGGGTAATAAATGGTCAGATTTTGCTAAAATTGTTTTGCAGCATGGTTGGGGCCAGCCCACCCATGGGAAACTGCCCCCTGATCCCCACGAGTAGTGGTTTCTGCCTCAACCCCTCAGTGCTGGGACACCCTGTCCTGCCAGGCAAAAGAGAAAAGGGGAAACACCCCCTCCTCCCAAACCACACACACGGAGCAAGAAGTTGCTTCCCCAGATGGATATGCAAGAGAAGGGCTTGAGCTGAATTTCCTCTTGATTTAGGCAGCCCTTGACCCTGCCACAAGCCATCCCACATGGACCTCGATGGCCACGCACATGCCTGAAGGCTGCCAGCCTTTCTGGGGAGCCTCTATGGATAGTACTATGCAGCGGCACGTTTGTTAGCAGAGGCCTTGAGTAACAAGCCCTTTGATGCCTGAGTACTTTGAGGCAGCCTGATTTTGACAAGCTGGCCATGGTTTGGAGTCAGCACTCTTTGAAATTGCTGGGAGCCTTTCTGCTGACTTCAAAGGGCTTTATCAGGGCCCCTGCTTCTCTCCTCGTATCTAGAAGAACAAAGACAGACCTTGGGATGTCCTCCAGCAATGGAGGATTTTGGTAAATGTCCTAAACTGATGCCTCAGGGCTTATCTCTGGAACAGGCAATGCATCCCAGCATGAATCCCGGCTAGAAATGGACCACCCATGTCTGTGGAAGTCTCACAGCATCAGGTGTGGGGCAACACTGGTGTTGCCCCATGCATCTGGTATGGCTTGAGGAAATTGAGGCAATGTAAGGTGAGTTCTCTCCACCACCCGCTCCAGCTCTGCTCTCTTGTGTTGCAGATATCACAGCTGCTGCACTGGCAACAGGCGCCTGCATTGTGGGCATCCTCTGCCTGCCCCTCATCTTGCTCCTGATTTACAAGCAGAGACAAGCTGTCAGCAGCAGACGTACGTACCTTCCCCTTGCCAGCTGCTGGCAGGGACAGCCATCTCATCTCTGTGTCAGCATGGCTTTTATGGGATGGGATGTGTCCCACTGGGATCAGCTGGTTCAGCTGCCCATGGGCACAGTGTTAGGTGGCCCAAAGACAAGTCGCTGCCAGATGCCTCCTGCAAAGCTGTTCTGGGAAGGGCCAGCCGTGCCTGCAGGCTGCAGGTGAGGAGTGTAGGGTGGGAAGGGGAACTCTGATGCCTGCAACGCACCCAGGGAGCATGCTGGGGGCACTGAGATTCCAAAGATGTTGCCAGGATCCCTCCATGCTGAGCACTTTCCTCCCCATCCCCTGCAAGAGCTGGCTCATTTAGTCATCTATCGTTACACCTGAAATGGAAGCTTTGCCTTCTAAGTGAATGAAAAAGCATTATTCATTCTTTTTCTCGACCCCTTACATGTCTATGGCAATAGGACTACAGCAAGCCAGATCTCCCCCCACTGCCCCAGCCGTAGAAAACCAGGCAGTGCCAAGATGCTGCCAGCTCCTGCCCATGCTTGGCTCCCAGTGATTTCAGTAATTAAGCAGAAAGGGGCACCACCTTAACCAAGAGAGCCATTTCATCAGGCCTTGGGCAAGCCAGGGGCCCTGCGGTTTCTCTCACCGAGCTCAGTGGGCAGCTGCCTGGGTCTGAGCAAACCCTTTGGAGAAGTGGGTTTTGCAGCAGCAGTGGATGCGATGCTGGCACGAGAATGGGAACTGTGCTTTCGACATCCATCTCAGGCTGAAAAGACTGGCTGCATGTCTTCATGCACCCATTTTGCTGTGGCCAGGATGCAGCTTCTATTCTCTGCTGCAAAGCATCACCTGGATGCTATTTAACCCAAGAAGGCAGGCAAATTCCCAGGGGAATTTGCTTCTGTGTGTCTTGGACTAGGTAAGCTACAGGTTATTTTTACCAGGTGCTTCCCATCAGCACGGTCTGAGCCAAATCTTGTGCATCTCAGCTCAAGATGCCATGTGCCATGCAGAAATCCAGCACACCTGACTAACACAGCCTGCAGGATCTGCTGTGGCAAGAAGGGTGAGGTGATCAATAACAGGGTGCTGCCTGGACAAACATAGGGTAACCAAATGCTGGGGTGGCATTTTGCAGAGCCCCAGGAGGGTGTCACAAGCAGGTGGTGGGTGATCTGGGCACAAGCAGGACCAGGCTGCAGCCTAGATACTGCACCATGCTCACCTCACCTTGCATTGGCATAGGTGCCTCCTTCCCCCTTCTTCACAGGCTGTGGTTTCAGTCCAGAAGGAGGCCAGGCTGGGGAGTAAGCAAGGTGGGAGACTGCAGAAGGAGATTTGGGAGCAAAGAAGGGGCTGATGCCAAAGAAGGGGGAAGGGTGTGAGGGATGCAGAGGAAGAGGAGGAATTGCATGTGGATGAGACAACCAGAAAGCGCTGGTAGTGGGTCTGGGTTTGACACTGGGCTCCATGCTGCCAGCACTCACACCAACTGTTTTGTCTTTGGCAGGTGCTCATGAGCTTGTCAGGATGGAGAGGTGAGGAAACCTATGTGCTTCCAGCTCCCCTCAACCTCCTCGCACACCCCTCTGCCTGCATCCTGGACCCTGCAAGGGTCCTCCCCTCCCCTTGAAGCCAGCATGTATCTTCAGCCCACTAAGGTGAAGGGGATGCTTGTGGCACCCATACCTGTAATCTTGTCCTTTTCCAGTCAGCCACTGTTCCTCTTCCCTTGTTTGGAATGGGAAGTGCCTCCTTTCTTTTTGCCTGTGCCAGGGGCACACATCTTCCCATGCTCCAGAACTTGAAACCAGGGTGCCTTTCAGCTAAGCTTCCCCCTCTGCAGCGGGCTCCCTGCTTGCTCTCACCTGAGGTGCCGCTGCCTGAACCTGCTCCCTGCACTGCTTGTTGTTCCAAGTGCTCAGCTTTATCCCCAGGGATAAAAAAGGCTCCTGAAATAAAAATGCAAATCCCTGCCTCTCATACCCTCTCCTCTCCTCTCCTCTCCTCCAGCAATGCCCAGGGCATTGAGAACCCTGTCTTTGAGGCGGTCCCCTCAGCCAGCATGGAGCCACAGCTCCGACCCCAGCTCTCCTACATGGCCAGCCGGCAGCCCTCCGAGTCCGGCCGGCACCTGCTCTCTGAGCCTGGCACCCCCCTGTCCCCGCCTGGCCCTGGGGACTGCTTCTTCCCAACGCTGGGTGAGTGACTGGCAATCCTGAGCCCCCCTGGAGGCCATGGCAGGAGGGGTGGGAAGGAAAGGGGCAGCCAGGGAGATGAATGGGAAAGGGGACGAGTGTTAAATATTGGCTGCAAATTTTGCATTATGTGGGACATCAAGTCCCAGGGATTCGAAGATGGAAAGGACTCAGAGCCTGTTTTCCATGCAAAAGCAGAGTTTGGCTGCTTGCCAAAGCAGATCCCCACAGCTCTCAGCTGGACTAATACCCCTGGTCTATCCTTTTCCAGATCCTGTTCCTGACTCACCGAATTCCTTCAAAGAGTAAAGACCCAGGAGGAAACCACATACCCCGGCTGCAGCCGGGAGAGGCTGAGCAGCCACTGTGCCATGCATCCAGCCAGGACCCTGGGGAGGGCAGTACGGCAATGGGCAGCAAAGCATTAAACAATGAAGCTGGGAGCAGGAGCCCTGCCCTCGCCTCCTGTCCTGGCTCTGCCCTGAGGCTGGAAGTGAACCTCTCTTGCCCAGATTTCAGTTTTTAACTATTTCTATGGAGAAGAGCATGGCTTTGTACTGCTCATATTTTATGGGCTAGATGAAAACTGGGGATGTAGGGAAGGAAGGATGACCTGCATCCACAAACCTCCCCAAGGACTTAACTTATTGCCAGGGGTTTAAGCTCTGCAATATCAGCCTGTTCCTGCATCTTTGAACATCCTCTCTGGGAGTGGATGGTAAAGTACTTTATCCATCATGAGACAAAGCAGGGTCACTGGCCAACCTTGTACTACCTTTTTCTTTGCAAAACAGGAAGGGGAGAGGCTCCCTGCCGCTGATGGAACCCTCCTTCCCTGCCAGCCTTTTGAGATGGTCATGGACATGCAAGGCTGCTGCCTTTTCAGCTGGGCACATGTTGGGAGAAGCCTTATTTCTGCTGCAAATTTATCCTCAGCTTGGGATCAAGGGAGTTTATCTTTCTTTCATTATCAGTGCTGATTAAAAGAGAAAAAAAGATGTTTATGGTTTGGTTTGGTTTTGGTTTTGGGCTTTTTTTTTTAAATGCCTGTAAATTAGAAAGTTCATCTGGAGGGTGTAGGAGGATGTTCCTGTGACGTGGCCAAGAGCACTTGCAGAGGGGCAGAGGCATGGGAGCATGCAGAGGGTGCTGGGAAACGCTCTGGCTGGCTTCTTCCCGCCCTCCTGGAGCCAGCATGGCCAAAGCACCCGTCCCTGGGGCCACTGCTTTCAGCCGTGCTGGAGGACCCTGCAATGCCCCTGCACTGCGCTGGCAGGTGCCCTCCCAGTATCCTCTGTCTGAACACAGCACCCTGGCATTGCCTATCCAGAAGAATCCGTGGGTCAGGCTCCAGTATGACTCAACCCCTGGCGAGGACATAAAACCTTGTGGTAGACACTCTTACTCGAAGGGTGCGTTTCTGTGTTTGTTTTGTTTTCTGTTGCTTCTGTTTCTGTTGTAAAGTGGGGGAAAAATTTCCACTAGACAAACATAAACATTAGTCATATAAAACCAGTGTCAGACCTGAGCAATAGCCGTACCAGGCAGCATGCCTGGGCAGAGCATCCCAGGCAGCACACTGAATTTTCATGCTACGTGGCTGCAGGAAGCAGCATTTGCCTCTGCAGGGGGAGGGGACACCCCGGCCCACTGCAGGATTTGATTAATCCTGTGCTGGTTACAGCAAGAGGAACTTCAGGATGGTCTGGCCGCAGGCAGAGGGATAAAGGAGAAGCCAGCACCAACACCCCCACTACAGACGTAACTTCCTGAGCACAGGACTTGTGCTTTATTGCCAGCCACAGCTCAGCCCCTTTCCTGGCTTTGCTGGCAAAGCTCGCCCAGTGCCTTCCGGCACTTCCCTCTCCCTGTCCCAGCAGCTGCAGCTGGAAAGGCACACAGAGGATTTGCCTGCCCGTGGGCCTTAACTGCTTTGAAACCCTCTCCAAGTCATAGAATCACCGTAAAATCACAGAATCATTTAGGATGCAAAACACCTTGAAGATCATCAGTTCCAAACATTAACCTAGTACTGCCAAGTTTACCACTAAACTATGTCCCTAAGCATCGCATCTACACGTCTTTTAAATACCTGCAGGGATGGTGACTCCACCGCTGCCCGGGGCAGCCTGTTCCAGTGCTTGACAACCCTTTAAGTGAAGACATTTTTCCTAATATCCCATCTAAACCTACCCTGGTGCAGCTTGAGGCTGTTACCTCTTGACTTGTTACTTGGGAAAAGAGGCCGAACCCCACTTCACTGCAACCGCCTTTCAGGTAGTTATAGAGAGCAATAAGGTCTCCCCTGAGCCTCCAGTTCTCCAGACTAAACCACCCCAGTTCCCTCAGCAGCTCCTCGTAAGACTTGTTCTCCAGACCCTTCACCAGCTTTGTTGCCCTTCTCTGGAACCGCTCCAGCACCTCAGTGTCTCTCTTGTAGTGAGGGCTCCAGAACTGAACACACGATTCAAGGTACGGCCTCACCAGTGCCAGGTACAGGGGAACAATCACTTTCCTAGTCCATTTGCTAATGAATGCACTGTTTGATGACAGAAAAAATCTTTGCTGGAAACAGGTTTCTCTCTGTGTTGCAGGAATCTTGCTTTTGGTATGCCCTGTGCTGCAGGCAGCTGTGGTGGGCAGGCAGAGGTGAGCTATCAGCCACATTCTCTGACATAAACACTGGTGCAGCAGGTTGGGGCACTGAGTGGCATCAGGGACCTTTTCCTACCTGGTAAGCTTGCCAGAAGGAAAACTAGACTTTTAGGGGAGAGAGGCGATAGCTCTGCAGGCATTGAACAGGAGCCCTGGCATGGTGGGTGCTGGCACTCCACCTCAGCTTCAACAGTGGTGGAGAAGATGGCATGGTGCTGTACCTTTGGGCAGGATGCTTATGGTGAAGGTGACCCAGCAAGATGCCCTTATGGACCTTGATGGGTCCCCCCCAGCTCTTGCAAGTGCCTGGCTTGGGAACACACACTGAGTGGGTGTCCCGCTGCTGGCTGTTTTCCACTGCATCAGCACTTGGGCCTCTGCTCGTGAGGAGCTGCAGTGCTTCACCTGAACTCTTGTTTCAGAGCGGGCAGACAGGAACAGAAACTGAAGAGGCTGAAGCAGCCCTGGCTCGGCATGGCTGCAAGATAGGCATCTGAGCAGATTTGCTGATCCACCCTGCCTCAGGGCAGCACCAGTGCCTGGGGTCTGTGGATATCAGGAGGAGTCCAGCTCCAGCACATGTAGGTGACTTAGCTCCCTTCCTTCTTTCTCCTGCCAGAAGCATCCTGAAGACTCTGGAGCAGGGCCAGACCCTGAGGAGGGGCAGCTGCAGGCTTGCACCAGGGACAAACATCGCTCAGGTGACTCCTGCAATTCCCATGTAAAGACACCAGGACCTTCCAATTGCAGCTCATCAGCTTGTAAAGGATTTCTTTCCTGCAGTGCTTGTTGGGGTAAACGCTTTCCTTTTATCATCAGCATTTTAGCCTTTCTTCTATGCATTTCCAGCTCCCAGGAGGATGGGCAGTCTTCCATGTACCTTTGCTATCCTGGATATCACAGATCACCACGGGACTTCCAAGTCTTCCAGCTGTATCCTCTGCTTCTCCCATACTCAGGAGGCCAGGTCTTGAAGTACATGAAATACGTGAAGTACACGCACAAATTACAGACGATAATCCCCTTTTGTGCATCACTGCACCAGCCCAGACTTGTGAATCCAAAGTTTCTAGCAGGCAACAAACTCCCGACAGGCATCATTTCATCACCCAGGCATGAGGCCAGCAGTCCCCAAGTGACATGCAGGACAGCCTTTCACAAGACCTAAGCATCCTCAAGCTCCGAAATGGGTTGAAACTTCTTTCTGCTCAGGAATCAGGTCACTGGACACTTTGTTTTGCTTCAGCATGTCAGGATTTTGATTGTTGCTGCTGGCTTAACTTTCATTGGTGATGTGGTGGTCATGCAGCAGAAACCCTGAGGACAAGCAAGGCTGCTGGGACACTGCTTTGGCAGCGTGAAGTGATAAGCTGTGTCACTTGTCCTCTCTGGCAATAGGAAGGGAAGAGGGCATTACCATGGCAATGGGATTTGCCAGTTTAGCACATGGCATTCCTCATCACGGCAGCATCACCAATGCTCCCATGATGCTGGGGCAATGGGGACAAAGAGGAGCTGGCAGTATAGGGTGCTGCAGTTACACAAAGCTGCCTTCTCTAATTTTGGGGGAAGAGACTTGCTAGATTTAAGCCACAGTGGCAGCATGGCTTAAGAAAAAGATGGTGATGCACAAGAAGGTGTGTGAACTACCCAGGATGGAGGAGTTGAGACTGCAAAGCCTGAAGTGAGAATTGCAAGCCACAGTTCACTCTGCTGTTTGCAACCTGTTTCCTCAAAATGTAGAGCAGGACTTTGCAGCGAGAGCTCTGCTGTGAGATCAGAGAGATGGCAAGAGATTGCAGGTAGAGGTTGGGGAGAGGAAGGATGGCAGGGTGTCGCGCCTCCCCATCTCACAATTTGGGCTTGCTTTCTGCACACAGTTGCTTACTCACATCCCCACAGAGCCGTGGGGTTAGGAGAGACTCAGGGATGGAAAATGCCCCAAATGTTATTTGCTCATATGACCCTCCCATGCCAGAGACCTCTTTAGAGGCACAAATAAGGAAACTTGTTATTTGTGGAGCGGGGAACATGTGGGTGAGAAAAGCCAGGCTGCAGCAATGGAGTTACCGTGCACTCCTGCAGGCTGGTAGTTACAAGGCAAGGTGGCCATGTCCCCAGACCAAAGTATGATGGACGGGATCTCATATCAGGCCCTAAATGCATGCTCAAATCCTGATCACCATGGGCAGGGCACTCCAGATGGCCAGAAACATGACCAAGAAGCTGCCCAAGTCTCACAACAGCTATAGTAGTAGTAATTACTGGAGCTCTTCTCATTTGCCAGCACCAGAGCAGACACATATCAGTCCATGGTGAGCTGAACCACGGTTCAGCTGCTGATCCAGTGACTCCCTGCCCTGGGATGGGTGAGCAACATCCAGAGACCTTTCAGAATCTGAGTGTGAGAAATCAGTGGGCAGGACAAATCCTGCAGCTGCCAGCACACTTGCCCATTGGGATGCTCATGATACTTTTGGCATTTACAGATGGGAGACAGCAGCTCCCCAGGTGACTGCAAGAGATGGTCCTGCAGGACCATGTGCCGAAGGAGGCCCTGAACCAAACCTGTACTCAGCAGATTTGGGCTCCGAGTCGTAACCCAAATTGCCCAGATCACCAAAACATCACACCCTGTGCCTGCTCCCCCTTTCCACGATAGGTATCTAAGCTCGCTTTCCACAGTGCTGCCCCCAGCTCCATCATTCCCTTGGAAGGTACATTTTGGTGGCTCACCGACAGGGAGGGGTTGCCCTCGTCCTCGACGGTGACCACCAGGCTGTAGAAGCTCTGCCGCTCGCGGTCTGGTGGGGACGGCCGGGTGGCGATCTCGCCGGTGACACGGTCCATGCGGAAAGTTAGGTCCTCATTCCCATGGGTGATGTAGTAGGAGAGGACGCTGTTGAGGCCGATGTCCCGGTCAGTGGCACGTACCTGGGCCACTGCTGTGCCACCACCGACATTCTGCAGGGTGAGATGGCAGGGTGAGTGGCAGAGATACACAACATAGATGACATGCACCTCATAACATTGAAAATACATAATTAATAACATAATTCTAATATAATTTTTCCTCTTTTTCCAGGCATTGCGGTGCTTGAGGTTCCAAACTCACTGCTCCAACACCCACCAGCCAAGCAGAAGGCTGGTCTCTTTCACCAGTTCCTGGATGCTATTTTGCAGTGCTTATTGCAAACGATGTTTCATTAAGCCCTTATTGTAATCCTCATCCTGTAATTTATATATGGCTTATACTAGAAATGGTTTTGTTTGTTTGTTTTTTCCAGGTTATTTCTTTCACCAGCTGCTGTGGCTTTTGACTGTTCTACATTTAAGATGAAATAATTCTTGTGATTGTATGACTATGAGGGTGGTGAAGCACTGGAACAGGTTGCCCAGAGAAGTTGTGGATGCTCCATCCTTGGAAGTGTTCAAGGCCAGGTTGGACAGGGGTTGGAACAACCTGGTCTAGTGGAAGGTGTCCCTGCCCATGACAGTAGGGCTAGAACTAGATGAGCTTTAAGGTCCCTTCCAACCCAGACCAGTCTGTGATTCTGTAACAGATCCATCTTCATGCAAAAACTTAACAAGCCTACTCGCTCTGCCACTGCTAGCTCAGCTGAGAATCAGCCACAGGCTTAGCAATGGAAGGTTCTGCCCTTTGCTTGAGTGCTCAGATAGTTTTTGGCTCAAAACTCTGAAATTAAATGTATTTTCTACATCAGCTTTCAAAAAGAAATGGAATAAAACTAACAGGTGATATTTGCTGTTAAGTCACCAAAGCCAGCTACTGCTGCATGCCAACATTGTACCTATTTGTCCTTATGTTATAGCATCTCCCATTTATTGCAATGAATCAGTTTGATTCCCTGTTGCAGAAAGCTGTGCATTAGGTCCTATCTAGGCTGGCACAGCCTAGAAGAGTGTGAAAACCAGTGTGCGTGCAAAGGTGAAGGCTGTGTAATGGACTCAGAGCTCAGCTAATTATTTTTGGATGGCCCCATTACGGGGGAAATCAAAACAGAAATTCTGTTCTTCAACCAGCTCTGAATGTGTATTAAATAGATAAGAAAATCCTAACAGGGCAATAATGTTAATGCAAAGCTATTAATCATAAGCAGCAGTTCCTCACAGCTAAGTGTCACCGGCTGTTACTCATATTTCATTTTTCATCATCAAATTGAGAACCCCCCGGTCCAGGAATTAAACTGACAGGAAATAAGTTGTCTTTTCTCACGCCTGATTGTGTTTTATTGCTTAATTATCTAGCTCTTGCCAAGCTGCTTCCTGAAAGCAATTCCTATTCTGCACTGCGCTGCCTCCTGTGTCACTTTGGTGGCATTTCCATTGGTGTGTAGCCACTTCTCCCTGCTGGTCCCTGCAGCCTCATGGGCTTAAGTTGACTGCAGAGCTCTCTCCTAGCCCAAAACTGGGATGCCACCACAGGTGAGGGCTTGCAAGGAGCCACCAACCCTTAAATCATCCAAGGTGAGGTCTGACCACAGGGCAGGTGGGGACGATGCAGCTGAGGGGATGGAAGGAGAGAAGCAGGGCTGGGTGCTCACCTCACTCACGCTCACATTGTAGCCGAAGGGGCTGTCGATGATGGGGGGGTTGTCATTGACATCGAGGATATTCACTCGCAGAGTGTGCTCCTTCCTCCGGGGAGGCACACCACCATCTGAGGCTTGGATCTGCAGTCAGGGATGGGTTTTCAAGAAACATGCCATTTTTAAGCTCACAGCCCCAAGAAAACAGCCTCAGTGCTCAAACCAGAAGAAGCCAAAGGAGGTAAACAGGGTGGTTTGGTGCTTACTCGTAAGGTGTAGTGATCCAGCAGCTCCCGGTCCAGTGGCCGTGCCACGAACACCTCACCATAAGTGTTGTTGGTGGTACGGATCTCGAAAGCCCGGCCAATGTTCCCTGAAGCCAGCGAGAAAGTCACCTGGAAACATAATGGGAAAAGAAAAATAGAGAAGGAAGACAATGTGATGCTGTGAGAAGGAAGGAGAGAAAGGAGAGCCTACAATAATAAACCCAGCATCTCCTAGGGGAAGTCTCTAAGCATTTTAAAAGGTCCAATGTGTTGGGGTCCATGGGTGTGCTGGCTGATTGTAGTCACCCTAAATCAAACACCCATGTGCCAACCTTGGTCTCATCCAAGCTCTCCTACGATGCTAGCAGTTTTTGGTATTGAGGGTGACAGGACCTCATTAACATCTGTCTGCATGGCAAAGAAAACAACAAATGTCAGAGAGCTTCCTGTTCAGCCTGCCAACGGCCTCGCAACCATTCCCCATGGCAGGAGATGCCACAGCTGGTTTTCCAATTGTCAGACTCATTTTGACACGTGCCCCACAGAGCCCTTTGTCCCAGACAGCCCGAGGAGGATGTTTTTCCCCTCCTGCTGCATGCCTCTATTGGGGAGTGCTGGTACACACTGCACAAACAAAATTTTTGGCATCAATGTCCAGTTTGCTCTTGCAGGGATGGAGAGGAGGGGAAAGGATTAGGAAGATGCTGATGGAGGCATTTTGCATCAGTGAAACACTATCACAGCATTACAGGCAGCTTTAGCCCGCTGTGCCAGGCTCCCTACCTGCCCGTTGCTGCCTGCATCTGGGTCACGGGCCAGGACCAGGGCCACCCGCTTGCCAACAGCGCTGTCCTCTGCCACGCTCACGGATGAGTCGGAGGTGATGTCAAACTGGGGGCTGTTGTCGTTCTCGTCCAGAACCGTGATGGTCACCTATGGACATGGCACAGGGCTCAGGCAGGGCCAGGGCAGGAGCTGGCCCACTGCCCGCCCAGCATCAACAGCCACACTGACAGCTCTGGCAAAATCTTGACCCACTGTACCCCTCTGCGGTGCCAACAGTGTGAGTGTTGTCCATCCTTCCATGTGGGAATGGGTGCAGGTATTTGAGGCCAGGAGCTGAAGCTACATCCCTGTCACATAGGAGAAGGAGGAAGAGGTGGAGGGATGCTTAGAGGCTGGAGAAAGTGCAAGGGTGCTGCAGCTTTCAGTGGTGCATTTTTCTATGAAGCATCCTCTGCTTTTTTATCCTCCAAATAGCTAGGCAGAGCAACTCATGCTGCTTCAGGGTGAACCTTTCCTGCTATGCTTTTCACAAGCAGCAATTTCATCTGTACTCACAGCCTAAAGGTTGGGCAGTGTTTGCTTAAAAGCTGAAGGGGCACAAAGAAGACAGAGCTGCATGTATTTAACTAAACCAGAGTGAGATGGGCATAGAGAAGACCTGAGCTTCCTCCTGGGAAAAGGCACATGAGTGAGCGAGAGACTGGTCAGGAGATGCTCAGAGAGGCACCCCATCCGCAGATGACTGGGGACCAGGCTACCTTGGCCACAATTACCCAGAGGAAATGCTCTCATAGCATTTGTAATCCAAGAGCTGCAACATGACACAGAAATGGGAGAGGAAGAGCCTTTCTGTTCCCGGGGCTCTATTTATGGGTGCCCCGAGCCCCAGGTGTGGCCAGGCTGAATGCAACAACATCCCAGAGGAAGCTGGGGAGCGAGCTGTGTGCCTCAGGGTGATTTGGTTATTGTTGCCACTGATTAAAAGCAGAGAGCCAGGAGCAGGGAGAGTCCATTCAGCAGCTGTGATGGATCCAGCAGCTGCTGTCCCAAATGCCAGATCAGGGCATTGGGCTTTCTGCTCGCCAGCAGCCACAGGCTCCGCACCATATCCTGGGGGGTGTCACAGAGGCTGGTACTGGTGAGATGGGCTTGGACACCTCCAGTGTGGTCCCTCTCCACAGCTCATTATGTAGTTTGGGATAGATCCTGGCCCCCACGATGATGCCAGTGTGACGGATGTGCTTACCTTCTGTTGGAGGACAGCAGAGGAGAAAACAGAGAAAACAAAGAAACAAGAGTTAGTGGGGGTTAAGGAGGTGCAGGCATATGCAAGGGGCAGTCCTGCACCCTGTTGTAGCAGTGTTGGGGTCTGCAGATACCCCCTGCAGTGGTTCAGAGGCTCCTCTGTTGGTGCGTCTCTTCGTTTTTAATAGATAAACTTCTTGCCAGTGCACCCAGCATACCTCCTGCCCCAGCAGAGAAATCAAATCACCACCGTACTCAGTTGCCTTTGAAACTGCCAAATATAACCCTCTTAAACATAAACCACTGTGAAGTATTTCACACAACCCAACACTACACACCATCCCTCCTGCCCTGAAAGACTGCTACAAGAGATGCAGCCTGACATCATGGACTGGATGAATTTAGCAGCTCTATAGGGATTGGTCCATGGACTAAGGAATGATATCTCTCTTTGGGTGTGAGTGTGGGGGTATATACATATATATATATATATACGAGACAAAAGCGATAGTATATTGAAAAATGTGGGATCTGAGCATAACGTGAATGGTATGGAATAAGGGGTGGGTCCTGTCCCAGATTCAGCTACAGCAGTCATTTTTTCTCCTTCTTAGTAGCTGGTGCAGTGCTGTGGTTTTGACTTTCAGCCTGGGAACAACGCTGATAACACCGATGTTTTTAGTTGTTGCTG